AAATTAAGTATTAGATAGATAATTTCTGCATATATAAATTAGGTAGATTTTAAAAAATTTGACAACTTCTAATACATACACATAGTATTATAATATTAGATAGCATAATGCATATTTAGAGGATAGTTGAGTATTAAGAGATTTGGTCGTGCGATTAAATATAAAAAGCTGTTTGGAAATAATTTATAGATTGAAGAGAATTAAGAACAAAATCTAATTAACTAAAAATATATAGAAATAAGTTTGAGCAAGACTTTCAAAATATTAAATTGAATTGTTCAGAAATGGAATATATGAATTCAATTAGCCAGTTTCTAGTTGAACTACTAAGGTGAATCGATCAAATAATTATAAAATATATTAATTATACTAACTGATTATAATAACAAATGGCATTATATTTAAAGTATTTACAATTAATAGTGAATTCTCAAATACTAGTCTTCATTCGAGCAACTCTAATTCATAGAAATTCAAACTCTTATCTGGAAACATTAGATTATATTTGGATTATCTCTTTAAACGTCTTATATTAAAGGTTCCAATTTTTTATAGTCGATAATTATTGTAAAATGTTTTAGGCTCTAAGTAGAAACAATATGAACGGAAACTAAGTAGAAGTAACTTTAGAGGATTAAATCAATTGGTACTTGGTAAGTTATGCTTGAAGCTTTAATCTCAAATTTATTAAGAACCATAAATAACCTTGGACTTAAAATAAAGGGAGTGTACTCTTCTGATCTTTGAACGCTCATTAAATTTCAAGAAACAACAGAAAATTTTTTAACAAATTATGTTTTGTCAAATCAGAAAAATTAAAAAATTAATCTTCAATTAAAAATTTTAGTATTGTGGGAAGACTCAAGTTGATGAAAGCTTCTGAGGAATTCTAAAAACCTTAATTGTGATTAAATCAATTATAATCACCAAAGAAGTTTTAAGAAAAATATATAATTACAAGGTTAATTATAATTCACAAATCAAGACTTATTTTGAAATCTTTTTCTGCTTCTACCTAAGCCATGAATAAAAATTGTGTTTACGTTCTAAGATGGAATTAAATTTTAGTTCAATATACTTAAGTTGGAAGAAATACTTTATACTATAAAAAGTTCAAATTCGAAGCCATTTTGTTGTTTATAACTCCAAATCAAATTCAATTCTTAAAATAGAACAATTTAATTGTTTAAAGTATTGCAATAGTTACATGATACCTTTTATGTTCCAACTGATGATCCTGTCCTTTCATCATTTGATGTCCTTGATTAATCAGGAGTGTATGCAAATACATCACCCATTAGGCTCTCTTCCATTATTATCCTTATTCTATCACTTGATCCCTTAAAGCCACAATATACCACAAATTCCCCAAAAATGTTAAAGGATCAATTTCTAGATCCAAAAAGGATTATCTGGCTTCCATTCAGAAGGCAAAAATGAATGAGATATACTCAGAACCTATTAATATCAACATAAGTAAAAAAGGTTGTATTGTGAGATTTACAAATAATATTTTACCAGATTGATATTGAAATCTGATTAGAACAACAAGGTAGAACTTGGTTAAATTTCTAATCACAAAACTTAATATTAAAGCCAAATAATTAATGATATTTTCTAATTGCTTTAATCAAATTACTTTATAGAAATTCTGAATAACGGTAATTAACTCCGCATGTAAAACAAAATGAAAGCCAATCTTTGAGCACTTCTCTTTTATAAGTTGCGATTGACTTCAAACATCATCTCACTTCATGCTACTTCTGAATGTAATTTCATGAATTATTTGTTTACTTAATTAGTTTGATTTTGCAAAAAAAATTCTCTTACTTTTACAGCCTGATAAAAAAACTAGGATTTTGCCTCTATGTTACCTCTCCATTTTGATATTAAATAGTCCTTGTCGATTATTTCAACATCAACAACTAAGTCTTCTCCATCAAAATTTAAGAAATCATGATGGGCTTTCCCTCTTTAAAAGTGAAAGATATTATAAGAAGGCTCAAATGAGTTCCTCAATAACATACCTTTCATGATCAGATAGTAAATTTCAGTATTTGCAAAGTAAAATAACTCAGTGAAAAACTTGCATTACCTTCATTATGAAACCTGATTTGCGGTTACACAAATTTATCTAAGGTTAATATGATGAGAGAAAAAATACTTCATTTCAAAATATTTGATGAATAATGAAAAACCTATTCAATCTATAGTTGTTATGAAAAGTTATGTATTAATTCAAATAAGATGTACTTTGAGAAATTATATACACAATTTGAAGTATAACACTTTATGATGCACACATAATGAATACAAGTATTTTAACTCTTGAAACAAATGATTTAAAGATTTTAAAATTATTTGATTATGTTAAATTTTTGAAAAATAATTCTAGAAGTGAATTATAATTTTGAGTGCTGATAGAATTGTATTTTGAAAATTCATAAAGTACACAAAATGTAAAATATTTATTGTTGTAAAATTCACTACTTTCATTTATATTAAAAGGTTTAGTTTAAAAGCTAGTTGATTCATTATGAACTAATTAATAAAGATTATTGTTTTTACTCTGCATTGAATCTAAAATGGTAAAATGGAGACACTTATGAATTTAATAAACTTATTGGAAAATTTCTGTCAAAAGAAATTCATCAATATTTTGCTCCGTAAACTCACCTCATGGGGACAACTATGTTTGTCAAGAAGTGTTTTAAAATAATTAAATAATCCTATTTCCAAATTATTTGAATAGATCATAATTTTTCCAATTATAGTTTATTCTAGGTTAATATAAATTATAATTTCATTTTTTGTCTCTCAAAATAAATGCCTTTCTTAATCACTTCTTCTGTAATAATGTTTGAATTTTCTTTTGCTAAATATCACAATTTTTTTTTGCATTTGAGCAGTCTTCATGATATTGAAATTCGGGCACTGGCATTGAGCATCAAAACTCAACTTACTAATCTCTCAATTCTGATTCTACTTTAAAGTGTTTTAAATAGAATAAAAAAATTCTGAAAACCCACTCTATTAAATTACAACCTTTATTGAGATATATGTGTTAAAGTTATGCATTTTAGAGAAAACAATTGGAATTGAATTTCACAAAGGATATTAAAACTAAATATGCTTTAAGAGTTACAATTTTTAAGAGCTGGAGATTATCTAGAATATTAGGAAAAGCAAGAAACTAAATTTCTACACAACCATTTCAAAATAATTTAAGTAGATTAATGAGATTAATTGATTTATATATAAATTAATTGTTTATGAGTAATAAATAAATAAAAAGTAATAGAGAAATGAATAAAAATGTAGGAACAAGAAACGATGTTTATCAAAAACAGATTATCGAATGCTTTGAAGATGTATAAAATCAGATTGAAGTAATATATGTGATTAATCAATTTACTAGTGTTCATTCAACAAAATGGACTTTTATTTAGATTCACTTGTAAATAATACTTCTGATTCATTGAATCTAAATACCTTTTAAAAACAACATTGTATACC